GCTTATCTGACTCAAACCAATCACGAGAGGATAAGGTCAAACCCATCCTGGATACTCCTCCCCCCACTATGAGAAGAGGCGTATCAGGCAAGTACCAACGCCCTTTTTCAGTGTTTTTATAAAGTTCAGTTATTTCAGATGTTTGGGTGTCTTGAAGGATTAGAAAATCAATAACTTTGTCAGTACTGTTCTTTCTGTTATTGTCGATTCCTTTTTATATGAAGCAGCTTCAAGAACAGATAGTCCTCAACTTACAACCATTTGTTCAGCAACCATCCAGAGTTATCACAATGCTGAACAAAGGGATTATGATTGGTCCCCCAAGTTATGAGTGTTGCAGCACTCCTGCAGCCATGATTGTGATCTTGGCAATCCATCTACAAGGGCCTCACAGTCAGGTGATCACCATTTGCAGTTTTCCTTGCCGGCTTTACCAACAGGTTAATGGGGAAGCTGGCAGGGATGGTCGCAAACTGCTGACACCTGCTGATAGGACTCCCTCTTGTCTCTGGAGGCTGGTTGAAAAACCCCTGTGCTGAGGCAGGATTTTGGCATGAGGTGTTTTCAGCCAGCCCTCAGAGTTGTATCTCTGAGCGTTGGCTGAAAAAGCTTCATTATGATGTTTTCCTGGTCTGATAGTTCACCTCTTAGGGCGATTGAAGGAAAGTCTAAACCCTTTCAATGGTTTAGTGCAGGACCAGTAACTCAGCAGAGTTGCCCACTTCCAAATAGAGTGAGAGCAAGTGGGATCTTCCCCATTATGCTCGTTAATTCTGTGGCAGCCACAACCCATAATTTGAGAATTCTCGCCTTGAGTTTGCAGGGATATAAGGAACCATAGCATCACTTTAAAATATTAGCACCTTCTCCAAAATTAGGCTGGTTTTTCCTGTTTTGTTTTTTTTTCAGGGAAAATGACCACATTGCTGGCCATGCCCCCTGTGACCCCAAGGCAAGGCAGGAAAGCGAACTGTGGCCCCTGGGCCCAAAAGGATTATCCAGCACTGCTGTAGATAATCAGACCAGAGCTTCTAATTTAACTACTTAAACAAGAAGGAAATCCTGAAGTACATTTGTGCAGAATCTTCTTTGTTCTTTCCTGGGTGAAGTATATGCCTAAATTCATATCTTATTTCAGAAGGGGAAATATCAGTAAAATATTTTTTTTTCTTTTAAAAAAAATCTCAAATTTAACTGTTTATTGCACTGTAATCTGCTCTGAGTTAAAGGGAATTGGATACTTCAAAAAAAATTCTAAATTACAACCTTTTGATATCCATCTATTTCTGAATGGTTGCATAAGACCTGAGTGGTGGTGGTCTTTTGGTAGGTACCGTTCTGTGATGGGAAGAAAGTTGTTGGATTATGCTAGTCTATATAATTCAGTGGCAGAATAAACCTGGCTTCAAATCCTAGTCCAGGTCAACTATTCTCTAAAACAGTGTTTCTCAACCTTGGCGACTTTAAGTCCTGTGGACCTCAATTCCCAGAATTCCCCAGCCTGCTGGCTCTGGGATTCTGGGAGTTGAAGTCCACAGGACTTAAAATCGCCAACGTTGAGAAACACTGCTCTAAAACAACCCACAATTTTCAATTTCCTCTTGAATATAGGAATTCACTCTTGGAATTGCCCTTTTCTAAACTATGCTCTCAAAAATGCCTTTTAAAGTGACTAATATTTTATGTTTCTTTCTTTTTGCAGGGATGCTGGAAGCATACAGTGTTTTTATGGACTTATATCCTGTCCTTAATCAAGACTAAAGGATGGGGGATTCTCCACCCACTCCTTCCCGCTGCCCTCTGCTCTTTCCAGACCCCTTGGAAGTGACTTTGCCTGTAGGACTCCATTTGGCACACTATGGCACTAAGACTTGAGTTCTTCCTAAGTGTGCTGCTGCTGCTGTTGCTTGATGGAGGAACACTGAATGACTTGGAGTTTGGGAGGGGTTGTCTGAGCCACTGTGACCAGGGGGCCATTTCAATCCATGGATTCTTGGACCCAAAGAGAATGGTGCTTTCCACAGAGGTCTGTCACCTCTTTCCTTTCCATGGCGTTTTAGAAACTCCCGGGGAGGAATGAATCCAGCTTCTCTCCTGTAGGAAGACCTCATGCTTCAGCACAGCACAAGGTATATTACCATAGCCTCACTGGAGCTTATGTTCAAAATTCAAACTGCATTGTCTTCTTAGGCATCAGTGCATAGAGTCCTCCTTAATTTTTATCCTTTTTCCAAAGCAGCTTCAATCTTGCACTCTTAACAGCTTTGTACACAGCTTAGAAAAGTTTTGTTTTCCTTTTCTGGGATGAGAACAGGCTAGTTACTGCTTCCAGTCAAGCCTCTTCTTAATTCCTGAAAGTTGTCATACCAATTTAACCTAACTACTTTTAGGAGGGGCTGTGCTGTTAAGCTTGCCCACAACATTGAGTCTCCCTTAAAAAATAAATCTGTCTTTCGCTATTGCAGGAGCTCTATCTACAGATGATTTCCTGACAAATTCCTTGCTTTGTTTCATGCATTAGCTACTCTGGTTGTAATTTCTTACACACACATTTGTTTTCAAGGCCATTCTTTCCCAGCATATCACCTTCCTTGTTGTAGAGGAAGAGTTGTGACTAGATACAGAAACATGGAATTGGGGCAAAGTCAAGCTGATGCTTCTGGACATTGTTGATTAGAGCACACCTTGAGCATTTTAAATTTTGTGTGATGTAAGTGTTGAATTAAGGTCCAAAACTACCCTTGCTCTTGTTCTCATTTGGAATTTTCCCTTTGGCGGGATTCACTCACATGTTTGCTTCGGTGACATAGTAAAACCTTAGTGGTCTCTGGCATGCCAGCCTAGGGAAAGACAAAGTTAAATTTTTATTATGTAAACTTAGAACTAGGATTCCTGAATCCAATGAGCCTTTCAGCTGGCAACCAATTGAAACTCGAAACACATTACATGGGGACCCTTATGGAAAAACAGTGGCTGCAGAAATCTTGATTCAAGTGTCATCTTTGAGATGGAACTTTTTGAGGTATGCATTTTAGTTTTCAGTGCTCCATCCTAGCACCCCAGTTACACAAAATCAAGTTACATACCCTGGATTTCTTTAGTAAGACCAACCATCCATTGTGACTATCCAACTGCATGGCAAAGCCCTCCTCATAGAAGGATCTGTCTTTTTCTCAGAGAACAATTGGATAGATTAAAGAGGATGACTGTGTCACCAAGGGATATGATGCCTCCTTTTGTGCTGTTGATCCAAGAGGGTCTACGGTCAATGTTTTTTTAAAGAGAAAACAAAGTTAATGTAAGCCAGCGGAGAGAGCTTAAACTGTAAAGTATACAATATGGATTGGAAACGTTGCTTTTTACCTAATGGGACATTTTTAGTTTGTTTTGAAATAATGGAAGAAAAAGAAGAAGAAAAACAGACAACAGAAAACATAACTTCAGTTCCCTTCAACTCTCCCACTCCTGTTCTTCGTGATTTGATTTGTTTGTCTTTTTCTGATAGGTTGGAAATTGTGTAATAAACTTGATGATATTGTCAATCTTTTATACTGCATTGTATTGTTTCTTTTCCTTTTGTAAGTTTTAAAAGGGAGGGTGAGTTGTTTTTTAGAAATCTCCATTAAAAAAAAGATTGTAGGGGGAGGGATTGGGCTAAATGTGACTTAGATACGTCAGTGAAGATGTATAAATAAGGCAGGTGCCATGTTCTAGCTGGGTGCTAGCCCTTGTACAACCATGGCTTTATGTAATGCTAAATTAGTTCAAAAACCACTTTGTGTACAAAAATTAAAATGCCTTTTTAAAAGATAAAACTTCTATCTCATCATTATATTTAATTAATCATACTTCAGACTGACAAAATCCCTGAGAGTATTGACTTCTGGTTAAACTTAATAATTTCCAGTATGGGAGGGGGAAGGTGTTTTTACCTGGATTTAGTTTTTGATCATGAATTTTTTTTGTACCTAATTACCTAAAGGTAAAGGTTCCCCCGCACATGCATGCTAGTCATTTTTGGCTCTAGGGGGCGATACTCATCTCCGTTTCTAAGCCGAAGAGCCAGTGCTGTCCGAAGACGTCTCTGTGGTCATTGGGCCAGCATGACTCAACATTGAAGGCGCACGGAGCGCTGTTTCCTTCACACCAAGGTGGTCCCTATTTTTCTACTTGCATTTTTTACGTGCTTTCGAACTGCTAGGTTGGCAGAGGCTGGGACAAGTTAACGGGAGCTTACTCCGTTATGCGGCACCAGGATTCAGACCGCTGAACTGCCAACCTGATCAACAAGCTCAGTGTCTTAGCCATTGAGCCACTGCATCCCTGCAATTACCTTAGACATAGGAAAACATGCTGGAGCAGGGGATGTACCTACACTCCTATATTTTATAGGAAAATTCACATTATTGGGGGATTGCTATAAACTGGGCATAAAATGTATTTTGCCACTGCATAAAAGTTTTCACTTCACTAGCTCTGTATAGAGTGAGACATCTTAAGGATCCCTACCAGTAACTTCTAATTCAAATTGGGCAACTGGTTGTCCAGAGAACAAGTTTTTGCCAAAGGGTAGAACGCCTTACATTAAAGGTTTAAAGCAAAGCAATTGGCTAAAAGAAAATCTGTTGTCTTACTGTATGTGAACAGTATTGCACTAAACCTCTGGTTTGCCATAAAAGGGTGCCATCTGCAAGTAATCAGTGATGCGGCTTGAATGATGTCATGCTTTCAGAACATGGTAGCTTGAATAAGGCAGTGTTTCTCAACCGTGGCAACTTGAAGATGTCCGGACTTCAACTCCCAGAATTCCCCAGCCAGCATTTGCTGGCTGGGGAATTCTGGGAGTTGAAGTCCGGACATCTTCAAGTTGCCAAGGTTGAGAAACACTGGAATAAGGACTTCTGTGGGTGGGGCTTAGCTCTCAGGGGGTTGGGTTTACCTAGTTGCTAGGCATCCATTATGATCTTGCGCATCAGACACAGTCTCAAGTAGGCCAAGCAGTTAACTGACCTGAAGAACTGGTGCCATTTGAGCCTTTCCACCATGACATATTCCCTGGAGTTCGGACTTGTCAATGCTGCAAACAGATACCTGACTGCCGAACCTTTCCGTTTCCAGGTGACAGCCACAGGCAAACAACTGAAGCCTCGGCAGGTGTGGGTGCTGCAATTTGTGACCCCACATGGAGCCGGAGCAGCTGGCCCCGGAGAAGGGGCTGCCCAGAAAGTTCACCTTATCAGTGCCCTGAAACGCTACTTAGCAGCTGACCCAAACGGCAAAGTCACCTGTGACCAGGATAAACCGGGGCCTCAGACGTTCTTCCTGCTGCATCAGTATCCAGATGGCAAGGTGCAGTCATTCAAGGCCAAACACGCCTATTGATTATATATCCCAAGCCACAGAATGACGGTCAAGTTACGTCCAGTAGAGTGGAATTGGTGGGACTGGGTTGAGGTAAAAGGGTGGGAAGGAAAGGATGGAAAGAGGGGGAAAGGGAGTTGTTTGCTATGGAAAAAAGAATAATTTGTTTTCTCCCATATGTGGTGAACTTCTTATGATTGCAATGTATTGGTCTCTATAAGTAGCAGAAGTTACAAGTGTGAAGTGCTGGGAACAACTTGATTCTCAGTTTGTACCTAGACCAAAATAAATCAAGTAGCCTTCGATGTCCTACTGTAGGGCATACAGTATACTTCCCTCAAATCCTACCTGAAATCCTTCATAAAATAGCTAGTGGGCCAAATACATATTTTGTTCTTACTACCTAAAATATGCTGGTCAACTATAGTGTATTGTTGAAAAAGAATCTGGATCTTTACAGCAGAAGGGTCTGGATCAGGATGTACCACAGGATATATTGTTGCTGAAGGGCAAGTTTCAGATAAATACACATTCCCTAATGACATGCAATGCTGCAGCTGACATTTAGCAATACCTGGAGAGCTGTTGTAGCTTTTCCATCTTAGTGTGAGTGTTTCATTCGCCACCTCCACCCCCTTATCTGATGAGGTTGACTTGGTAACGTTTCTTTCCTGGCAGGTGTGTCTGCAAAATGAGCAGTCCAAGCGTTACCTGGGTGGGGCAGAGGACAATGTTACCTGCTTTGCCCAGGCTTCCAGTGAAACAGAAAAGTGGACCCTGCACCTGGCAGTGCACCCCAATGTTGCACTCTATAACCCCAACAGGAAGCGTTATGTGCGTTATGATGAGAAGGCTGAGGTATTGCGCTGTGATCGTGATGTGCCTTGGGGGGCGGAATCAGTCATCAGTATCTACTACGATTTCAAAGGTGGGGAAAAGTGATTTTAGATGTCGTTATTATGCATAAGGAATTTTGGAAGTCCAGAGTCTTATTTATAGCTCTTCTTTAAGGTGGCTCAACATCTAGTGGGATACATAAATAGGACTGGTTTATGAATAACTTTGCTTCATTTCCAACATAAGCAGCTGTCCTCAAACTAACACTTCAAACTGTCGCAAGAAGCAGGATGCAATTTTGAATTCTGAGATAAAACACAAATCTTACAATATCAAAATTAAAGGCTACATGCATACACCTAAATTAAGCCATGATTAAGATAGAATCCTAAATATGTTTGCTGCAAAGGTATTTCACTGAATTGAAGAGTTGCCTGAATAAAAAAGAATAAGATTATAAAATAGATATAATTTGGGGAAAAAATGAGATGAATTGGGGACAGTTCATGGCTACCTTTCCAAGAGTTTCCAAAAAACTGAAAAATAAACACTGAAGGGACAGGACATGAAGTTGATTGTTAAATCTATGCATGCATGCATGCATGCATACATACATACATACATACATACATACATACATACATACATGCCAACTACCACTCACTCATCACGAAATCTCCAGAGCGGTAAAGCCTACAAACTTGGAATTTGGCACCTATGTTCCTCTTGGCTTCTAGGTGCTCGCTAAGAAACAATTTTTCGAAATGATCATGAGATCATCAGTATTCCTTATACAGTATTATATTAACGTGCGTCAATGCCAAAGAGTCAGATATTCTACTCCCCCTGGCTAGACTGGGCATGGGCTTGGCAAGCACGTGACTCATCCAGCCTGTGGGTTCTACATGTCAATTTATCAAGCCCGATCACATAGTTTCATAGCAAAGCACGGGCATCCAGCTAGTACATGCATATTTTCAATATTTTTGTATTGGGCCACATTGTGTCTAACAAGTTACAAAAAAATAATGGTTTGCTCAGATTTCTTCCATATTAACATTCTTCTGTGATGTGGTTGTTGATGACATGCAATCCAACATTTCTCTCCTATCTAGAATATTGCCAATATAATTTTGAAAACTTTTCAGAATCAAGTTTACTTTAAAATGTTGTATTGTTGTTGTACACAAGAAGAATAATGTACATCTTAGAAGTAATCATCAACTTATTGAAAATGTAGGGTCATTTCTTCACCTTACTCTTTTCCCTTATGATTCCTTATATTTTCTTCCTGGTGCTTCAAGATTTTGTCCTGTTTTATCAAGCAACCCTTTAATTTCTCTACAAAGAGGATAATGTGCAATTTTGAAGAGCAGAATTAAGGAGCAGAATACCACCTTGATGCTAATAGAAATAAGTCATGGTCTAACGACCCTGAATGAAAAAATCTTCAGAGACAGATAGATTGCATCATAGTATACTACAGAAAGAACTACGGAGAGAAAGGAGGATCCAAGAAACTACAAACCAGTCAGTCTGGTATTGATTGTTGGGAAACTTCTAGAACAGATAACTTTAGAAATCTGTACATGCCTGTTTGTTTTGTAGAATTTGTAAATTTGTAGATCAGTTTGTAAAAATTTTGAAAGTAATGCAGTTATTATTGCATATCAGGAGGGATTTGTGCTCAGATTAATTTTATCAGTTTTTATATGGTATTTCATTAGGAGATTGCGGGAAAACCATGATTTTAATATATGTTGATTTCAGCAAAGCAGCTGATGAGAAAATACCCTATATTCTGATTAACAAACTGTTTTAAGTTAACAAACTGTTTTAAATATGTGTGTAGTTGACTCAAAAACTACATTTATATACATTTGCATTAGTGGTGAATATCTGTAACTTGGGTGTAGGATGAGGGTGAAGGTTTGTTCTCCGAGCTTGTGGGTTGGTTTCCGAACATTTCATTACCAGGGTAGGTAACAACTTCCCCCAAATCCGTTGAAGTTGTTACCTAGCCTGGTAACAAAATGTTTGGAAACCAATCCACAAGCTGGGAAAATGAACCTTCGCCCTCATTTATATATAGTACATCTATAAAATGTTTACAATACAGTCTTCACTGTTAATGAATCATTGAACAAATTTGTTTGTTTGTTCATGTATTTACTTATGTGTTTATTTATTGGATTTAGAAGTTGCCCAACCCTCTGGGTGGCTTACATGTCAAAAATAGAAAACAATAGAATGAAATAAAAAAGACCGGTTCATTGGGAACAGGAAACTTAACACACCAAAAGAAAACTACAGGGGACCAAGAGTTACCCTAACTGCAGCCCTGGAAGCAAAGCTAAATTCCACAAGCAAGGCCAGTGGAACAGCTGCAGTGTAGGAGCCTTATGAATCTCCAGGGAATGCAATTCCAGAGGGCAGGTGCCACAATAACAAAGACACACTTTCTAGGTTCCAATAGGTGTTGTTTTTTAATTGAACAGACTTGGAATATGTCTACTATGCCCAGTCTCATTAGGTAGACAAAAACTATTGGAGATAGATGTCCGTCAAATAACCAGCCCCTGCGCTTATCAGATTTGCAACTGAAAAAAACCTATGTGAGATAACCAATAGCCTAAAAAGGGAAATGATAACACTGATAGGCTAATGAGGGACTAAATCTGCATGAAAGTGAACAGAAACAAATTACAATTTTGTCTTTTAAGAAAAAAATATCAAATGAATAGATAATAGATATAGAGTAGGTCTGCTTTGATAATCTTCCATATGAGAAATAATCTTGTAATTATCAGCTGATGTGGCTGTCAGAAAGGCAAAAACTATTAGGCTGCATCAGTAGAAATATTTATAAATTGTGTAAAGTAATAATTCCACTGTATTTTCCACATCAAACTTCATTTGAAGTACTATATCCAGTTGTATCAGCACAAACAGCAGCCTGGTGGACTGGATCTCTGGGCCATCCATCAGCCTTGACCTCAAAGTGGCCAACCATCTGCATAGGAATGCTAATCTCCCATCAGTTGGATTTCTGAGCCAACCACAGTGCTTTCAAGGCTAATTGATCCACACAACTTCCATGAACTGGTCCAGTCCCTGAAGCAGCATCACATTTTATGGCAACAAATTCCAAAGTTTAATTACCTGTTGCATTAAAAAAAGTTTTATTGATCTTGCTTTTTCCAAGATTGAATTTCATTGGATGACTTCTAGACTGTTATTTTCAGACAGGTAAAATAGCTTCTCCTTGCCCACTTTATCCATACCATGTATCATTCTGTGCAGCTCTATTATGTTCCCTTTCAGTCACTTCCTTTCTAGACTAGAAACTAGAAGTGGAAACTAAGCCCTGTTAGGAAAGACCAAGAAATCTGGGTATTTTGTCTTGGAGAAAAGAAAATTAAGAGGGGAAATTATATTATATTTCAATCATGTCAAGGGAGCATCATAATGAAGAAGGGTAAGAGATAGAATGATGATCCTGCTTGAGTAACATTGCCATATCTGCTAATATCTTATCCAAAAGCCATTAACATAGCCAGACAAACTCCTAAAATAATCCTCTGTTTTAATATGTGAAAAAGTTAAGCTTGAGTCATTTGCATCTCCTCAATAGGTCTGGATTCCAAGGCACACAATGCTGACAGGAAGCAATTGTCCCCATTTATACCAGGTGAATTCAAATTCTGCTTACCCAGGAAGTCACTATGGATAGTGCAAAGTTTGATTTCCTTAACAGCATTTGTTAGGTAACTTGGATAATACCAATTAGACAGTAATACATGCACTGCACTGAAGCCAAAAAGGAGAATATGTTAATCAGGGAAGATTCCATGGCCAAATTCAATCATCTTTGTAAAACATTGCAAAAATATCTTCACTTCAAATTCTTTTTTCTATCAAATGCAGTCCATCTGGTCCTACTTTATAATTCAGATGGGGACAAGCTAGTGATGTGAAAATTGATTTCCAGTTCTTAACTTAGACTATGTGCCTTGATACATCTGATTTTACTGCAGTTGAGGGCCATAGTCTTTAGCTATATTAAGAATCTAGGCATAGAAAGTCTCAATACAGTAACTGGAAAGAAAATAAGATTGATAAGAAAACATGCAATTTTAACACCTAAACTGGGGGCAAAGCTAAAATCAATGCATTAAAACAAAACTGTTTCTTTCAAAAATATACTTTTACTAAGCATATATATTTTTAAAAAAACAAGGCACATTGTCCACAAAACAAAAACAAGGAGAAAGCATCTTTCTTAGACAGACTGAAGAATATACATTATAGTTGTAAGCCGTAATATTTCCAAGCATTCTTTATCAGGCAAGATATTTAGAAAGCAGGGAAAATTGGGGGGGATGTGCAAAGATGTTATTTAGTATCATGTCTACACAAGTTTCCATTCTTAGATTGACTGGCCCGAAGTCTCTAAGCAAGTAGATTATTTAAGAGGTTATTTTGGGTATACTAAAACTCTTGCTAGTGTTGGGAAGAGAAAAACAAAGGCATGCAAAATATTTCAAGGTTGAAATGTTGCAACCCTAAAATGTCTCATTGTAGCTAGATGTAAGCTATTCTGATCTCTGTTCTGCATTAGATTCAGGACCGTCCATTTCTAAGTTGGAAACCAAGGTGGAAAAAATTCAGAGCTCTCTAGATAAGATCAGAATAATGTTGGGATGAGATACTGTATATTGGAATCAGATTTCTTAAAACATCTCTAGAAACATATCTCTACAAATAGGTGAATATGAGTTCGAACCGCTAAAATGAAAACTCTTTCCAACCTTCATGAGATGCACAGATTCTTTGGTAGAAGGAAAACAGAAAGTAGATGAAGAGGTTTGATACTTTAAAAAATGTAGGCAATTTCAGCTATTGAACTAGGAAGCAAACCAATACAAGAGAGAACTATTTAGTACTGCACAGAACACAATCCCAGTATAAGTAGTTTAAAAATCCTCCTCTTGTCCTGAATAGAGTTCACTTAGAACAGTTCACTTTGGACTTTATATCTGATTTTTTTTTAAAGTACACAATAGTAAATTATAAATATGGGAAACTGGGATAATTTGAAGGTGGTGAGAACAAAGATGTTGGAAACAGGGGCTGCATGTGGAAAACCTCTGCTGTCATTCTAGAATGAAATGAATAGTTGCAGCGCTGCTTTGTAGTCATTCCTTTTTGAGATTATTTTCCAGGACTGAATACCAAGCCCCGTCAACCTCTTTTTTGTTCCCTTCTCCTGCTCTATCTCCAGTGAAGAAGTATGGATTGAGAAATGGGGCAGGTAAACTCTTAGCTTCCAATGGTTCACTGCTATCTGAAGTTACTGCACAAACCATGTACTCCTTGGAAGTCCATGGTGGCTTGGTTGCTTTCCGGGATGATGAGGGAAAGTACTTGACTGGGCGAGAGGGTAGCATGAAAACCCTAAAGATGGACAGACCTGGACGGGATGAACTTTTCAGCGTGGAAGCGAGCCCTGCCCAAGTTTCACTGCGCTCTTCTTCTACCAACAAGTTTGTCTGTTGCAAGCCTGGTGAGTTGAGTGAAAGCAACACTATCTGTCTAGATATGAGTGACAATCATGGCAATTGAACCTCTAATCATAGCCTCTAAGAGTAATGTTATTTTGCCTAGTCTGGTGAGTGGAATTACTTGCCCTGGGAGTAAGCACAGTCCAAAATCTGCAAAAATGCAGAGATCTTACAAAGGCAATCTGGGGGAGACCCAAAGCAAGAGGGCAAAGATCGATTGTTATTAATTATTATGTCACCAGGCAGCTTTAAGAGCAAAGGAAAAGAGGAAAAACAAAAGGGATATTTCATGCTTTAACAGATTTCCCTGCACCTTTCAAAGGCCTGGATTAGATCAGTGTTCTTCAAACGTGTCATTAAGATGTGTGGACTTCAATTCCCAGAATACCCCAGTTCACACATTTTAAAATTGTCAAGTTTGAAAAACATTGGATTAGATAATGTTTGTGGCTCCTTATAACTCTACAATTCTACATTTCTGTAAAAACTGCATGATAGAATTGACCATACATAATCCAAGCATCTAGCTAGCTGTCATAATAGCAATATTGGGTTGGATTTAGTCATTCAATGAGCCACTGAATTTAAGGCAGATTTGATCTAACCCTAATGAGTACTGTAGATTAGTTTGAGAAAGCAGCAGACAGAAATCTCCCCTATCCGTGCCCTCTCTCTGCTACCCATGGAGAGTTGTACTATAATTGCACCATTCTGGTTCCATACTGAGAAATGTATATAAAGGAAAATGTCTTTATCAAACATCTAAAATTTGGTTAACTTAAGCAACAGAGGTTCCAAGAGAAGGTCATGAAGATCAGATCATTAGCGTTTTCCCAAGAAGGACAGGATTTTGAAAGTATTACATATTCTTTCCCCGTTCTCTTGTTACTATCCTTTTGCAATACAGTTGAGCACTGCTTTAGCTTGACTTTAGACAACAATGGACAATAGTCTTAATTTATTGGGCTAAAACCATAATGAGTCTCAACTTGCTTTACTGCTCTGCAGGTGCTGACCTCTATGCCACTGCAATGGCAGTAAGCAACACAGAGATCTTCCAACTGATGTTCGATGACACTACAAAGAAGGTCTGCTTCCGTGGCCATAGTGGCACGTACATGTCCTTGGTGAGTCCATTTGCATAATGCAAGAATGGGGATAGACTGGGAAAGATCAGCTACTTCCATCTGTTACTAAGTGTGCCATGACATTTGCCTTTTTGGAATGAAAGGTAGGCATTGTCAGTAGTTCGTCTTTCTTTCCCTGCTTTACAGATCGTTCTCGACTTGCAACCATTCGTTCACCCCCTGTTCAGAGTTACAACAGTGCTGAAAAAAATGGACTTAACTACTGGTCCCTGAAGTAATGGCTAATGCAGCCCTCCTGTGATCACATGATCAAAATTTGGGCTTTTGGCAGCCTGTGCGGCATTTGGACCACAGGAACATTTCATCTCCCCCACCTGATCATCTCCCTGCAATCTATGTTATTTGGCCGTCTGTGCTCCACGACCCCTGCAGCTCTAGCTGACCTTCACCGTCTTCTTTCTCCCGTTGCTAATCAAGCACGCCCTGTCTAGCAGACAGCTGCTGGCTGCATCAGGCCTTCCAGAGATTGCGTGCAGCCTTGTCCAGATTGCGAATGGCCTCCCCACAAGGCTTGGAAGCCTTCCAAAGCCTCATAAAAAGTCTGCATGTAATTTGGACAAGGCCATCATGCTTTTGGAAAATAGGGACAGCAGCCTTGGGCAGAAGGCCCAGTGTGGGCAACAGCTGCGTTGCAAAGGGCCAGGGTGGCCTTGTCTCCTCAGCAGTGGGACAAAGTCAACAGGGGTGGGGGTGGAGTGGAGTGGAAGGCAGCAGAGGTCTCAGAATGCAGGGCAGTGAGGGTGGCTGGGTTAGGGAAAAGCTGGGGCTCCCTAAGTGTTTAGCACTTCCCAGGATGCGGTGGCTTTGCGCTGTGCTGCTGAGCTAGCTGGGGCAGTCCCGGCTTCATGTTGCGCTGCAACTCAGGAGCTTCTTGGAGCCCCAGGCCCACAGGATACCAAGACGTCCTTAAGCTGTAATGTATTCTTTCTCTGCATTCCTGTTTTATACGATCCCCCTCAACTCATGCATGGCCTGCACTGTGCCTCCCAGGTCCTCTCCCATCTCCTTGCAGCCCCCACAAGCTCCTTATTGTGACTCCTTCTGCTTCCAGCTTAATGACCTCCACCTCTGGAGATACAATGGCAAATGGAACTGAACTGCCAGGATTACTTTCGCTAAGCGATGCAGTCACCTGTTGTTGTGCTTTACCACCCCGTCACTTAGCAACAGACATTCTGGTCCTGATTGTAATCATAAGCCAAGGTCTACCTGTACTCATGCAATTGGCTCATCAGGTTATACTATTCAAATTCTCCATATGAATGCTCATTTATAACTTCAATTAAGTAATGCAATTGTGTATCCCAGAGCTTAGAATTCCATTTAAAGTTTAATAGGGAGACTTAGCTATTTTTGTCTTGAGTTTCATGAAAGCAATCATAAAATTGCTACTGTATGAAAACCAAAAATTGAAAACATCCTAGATGTCAAGAAATTCTGAGATAAGAGAAATATCTTCCACATATGTGGCACACCATAACAGGCATAGATGTCTTTACTAGTTATCTAATCCCAATAATCTAAGCAATTCCCAAAAGGATCTGCCGCACCCAACCCCTTTCCTGTTATGGAAATTCTTTTTTCCCTTCTGTTATTTCTGGTGGAATATAAATAAATTATTTTAATGTTTGAACAAAGAAACATTAATTTTTTTTTATCTAATCTTAAAAGAGTGGTAAACAAATTCCATTAAGATTGCACTTTAGATCAACTTCTTTACAGTACAGTCTGACAGCAACGTGGCTGCTAGTAACTTATATTGTGGGTACTAATTCCTTATTCCAAAACATGTCACTCTGATAGATTGAAGTTTTCCTACGACAGGGCATTTGAGGTTTCTCTCAAAAATGTCTTTCCATTCAGAACTGAAACTAAACTAGGCAGTAATACCCTATGTCAGTGACACCCAATCTTCTGGACACCAGGGACTGGTTCCATGGAGAGAGGTTTTTTCACGGATTGGAGGGGACGTGGGTTCATATGTTGTCTGTAGCTATGTTTGTGCGGACCGGTTTCTGGCATACTGTGGACCGGGGCCAGTCCACAGACCGAGGGTTGGGGACCCTTGCCCTATGTTACCATTTTTTGATTGAGACAGTTCTAATACATACTGTAGATAGTAATCACAGAATGTATATCAGTATTTGTGTGTTTGCACAGTATCACAATGGCTGGATCATGCAACACGCTAACATAGACCACAATTTCTGGGTTCATGCAACATGTTAAACAAAAACTTGTCAAATCACATAATAGAATATCACAAAGTATAAACCTAGAGATTGTGTGCACTCTGCGCCAAGTTATCATGTCCTGATAGCAATGAAATCATGGAAACCATGACTAAGGTTACACTCAAGTAGACTGAAGTTCTAGATTTGGACAACACAGTAGGTAGATCAAATGCACTGCAGGTTAATGTGATGCAAACACAGCCATTATCTTCAATCATCTTACAGTAGCTGAACTTGGGGCTGGGTCATGACATATATAGAGACAGACTGACATGTAAAATCAGCATTTTTAATGCAGGGCCCAACAGCTAGGATTGAAAGTTAAGTTTCAACCTCAGGGTTGGGAATGTTTTTTCTAGATTAGGTAAGGCAGAATTTCCTTTCCAGTAAAGCCACTCTTTCTCCTGCAGGGACCCAATGACTGTATCATTAGCAGCACCAAACAGGACAAAAATGCTTGGTTTGAACTCCAGTATCAGGATCAGAAAGTGTTGCTTCACATGGGAGACAAGTATGTGTCTATGCGGCCCAACGGACAGCTCCTTGCAGTCCCCAAAGCTGCAGGTATAAGTTGGTCAGTAGCTTTCATTGCAATTACCTGGCTTCAGTATGGGCAATATTAAAATATGGGCAAATTGTGGAAAGAAACCACTGATGGCCAACTGAAAATTAATGTTAGAGCTGAACTTATAACATCAGATCTCTTCTTAGACTGTTGATTGCCATTGTCAATATGTAGCCTTTCCCTCTCTTAAATCCATTAAGTCAACCAAGTTCATGGATCACAATCCTAGGTTGATCTTAGATTTAAAAGTAGCACAGGAAACCAAGCCCTGTGCTTTTTTTAATGGTGTAATCTTCGTGAAACAGTAGGACATGGATCTCTAATAGGTCCCTTCTTTGTTCTTGGAGCAGGTGACAAGATGTCTGCTAGTCTTGGGGTATGACATTCCCTCCCCCCACCAAAAAAACTTGTGTTTAGATACTTATAGCAGAAGCACTTTTCAAGTTATCATTTGACAATTAATTTAATAAAGCAAGTGCACTAGGTGTATGAAAATGATGATGCTGAAACTTCTGGGGACAAGTGCCTTTGAAATGTGGACACCCAATGATTAAAGGCTTTCTAGGCCAGTGTCAATACTGTGGTTGGTGTTAGGAAGACCAGGGAAAGGAACTATCAACCCAAATAGTCCCAACAGTCAACTTTCCTACTCATTCTAGTACTTTGGGTATTTTTATCCAAAGTAAAAGGCATTTTAGCAAATATCAGCAGGTGGTTACAGACCAAGATGAACAATATCAAGAGGATTATGTTGCACTTACAGGTAAAAGTGAAGATTTTCTGATAGTTCTGGTGAACCGGCCTCTACTGATCCTGCACAGTGACGCTGGTTATGTTGGTCTGACTTCTGACATGAAGCGGTTGGAAGGGAACTGTTCTGACTACGTGCTCAACAGCCTGTCACTCAGTGAAGATGGCTACTATAATTTCCAAATTGGTTAGTATATGGTAGCTGATTAAGCTCGTTTACAACAGAGACCCCCAGATTATTTGCATTATGAAGGAAAACTGACATACAGTACTATTATTTCATGCACATACACCAGAGGTGGGTTATTGCTGTTTCGGCCCGGATTGAGCGAACTGGTAGTAGTGGCAGCGGGAGGCTCAGCCCACCCATCCAGATGCTTCTGCGCATGCACAGAAGTGTTTTGCATGCGTGCAGCACATGCGGAAGAGCGCCCAAACCGGTAGTAGAAAAATTGGCAACCCACCTCTGACATACACCCCTCAAGCCTGGCCAGGTTATGGAAGGAAGCTCCATAGAGATAAATGGAATCAAGGCCATAACATATCCCCATTTCCTTTACCCTAACTTGAAGGAAGAAAAGAAATGATTTTGCCACTATGCTTCCCTCCCTCTCCCCACCCAAAAGAAAGATATTTTCTGGGCCATTTATGTTTACTTAAATATTTTCTGAGTATTGTTCATATTTTCCAATTATATAGTCCTCAAATTAGACCACTGAAGGCCCTAGGGTTCTGCCCACTTTTGAGCCACAATTTTAGCGTTAGGCATTACATGTTCTTCCTGTTAAATGTTTAGGACTGCTGGGAATGCAGAAAGATGAAACTTAGTATTTATGGAAATTCTCAATCATCCAAGTCATGGTTGTCCCAAAGGTGCTTTTTCAAAAGGCAACTGGACCTTCTTGATTTTTTCTTGAAATATTTTACTTCTCATCCAAGAAGCTGCTGTACTCAGAACTAGTCCTTCCCAAACTCTTTCTTGGTGACCTTGCGTAAGATTATTGAAAGTGGCATGTAGGAAGTCATGTTCCTTAGCAAGAATTGATAAAAAGCAAAGACTTTCTAAGGATGGGTGTGTTTGTAGTTCCCAATCTAGCCACAGATGAGGCCCAAAAAGGTTGCCCACTCATCTTTAGATCAAATTTGGCGCTTATAAGAAACATGACTGCAACCTATGATCCCTTTACTCATCGGAATACCCTTAAAAATCAAGAGAACAGAATACTTTGGTTTGTCTCACTTGTCTAATTTTATACTTTCCTTCCACTAACTCTGCTAGGTGGCAAATATTGGTCCTTGGATAAAGATGGGCAAATCCTGGTAACCAGTGACCGTCCTGGCAATTTCAGCCTCCAGTTTGTATCCTCCACCAGTCTTATAATCAAGGCTTCCAACAACAAATATCTTATGGCTGATCAAGGAGGCCGAGTATGGACTGGGTCTACTGATGCATCAAGTGCAACTCTGTTCCATTATTGAGAGGTTCTGACCTCCATTAAACTTCTGTTGTGTGTCTTATTTAATGCCTCCTACTAAAGATACATCGTTATGGAGAAAATCTATGTAGTTGTAAGGGGTCAAAAATGACTTAATGGCACATGATCAATCAATCAGGCAATCAAAAAAAAAATTGAACCTGAAGATGCACTTCAACAATAACAGTTAATATTATTACCAAACTGTACTTAAAGTACCTTGGACAGCTACTTGTCTGAAATGATACAGGCAGTCCTTGACGTAGTGACTGTTTAAAGTTGCAATAGCATTGAAAAAAATGATTTATGACCATTTTTCAGACTTAAGCTCGTTGCAACATCCCCATGGTCACATGATCAAAGTTCAGATGCTTGGCAACTCATATTTATGACAGTTGTAGGGTTTTGGGGTCATGTGATCCCCTTTTGTGACTTTCTGACAAGCAGAGTCAATGGGAGAGACAGATCCCCTTACCAACCAGATTATTAATTTAACAACTGCAGTGATTCACTTAACAACCATTAAGGTTGTAAAATGGGGCAAAATTCACTTAACAACTGTATGTCTTAGCAATGGATATTTTGGGTCATTTGTAGCCATAATTCAAAGACTAACTCTATCACAATAATCCTGTTTCCTCCCAACCTCAATGCAAAATAAGGGAAGTATGACATCAACAACTACAAAAAAAAATGCCGAGTCATGTGTGAAAGGTACGAAATTAAATTGTTGGGGCTGGTCCAGTTCAGGACTCCTTCGTATAAACCTGGTTAAATCAAAATTTTCCTTGGACTTAAACACATGACTGAAAATCTTAAGCCACCATAACACATGTGTTTGTGTGTGTGTGCATCTTTCATTGGTTGTAGATGGAAGATAGGAGATAGCTGAGCCTATCTCTACCACTTAATTACCATCACATATTTACAATAGTTGAAAAATAAGTATTTATGTCAAGGGTATTGTAAAAAAAATCAAGTATCAATCACAAATTACCAATACACCACAATAACAATACTGATTTCTAGGGAATGGACATCCCTCTTAAGAGCAGGACATCGGCTGTAACAAATAGAGTTGACAAAGGCATCCTGACAAGAGTCATCATACAAATGGTAAAGACTTGAGTCAGTGTTAGAATGTTTCCATTTGAAGAATCTGAAGAGTACAGCATTCGCAGGCAGAATCTCTGCACTGGCTGAAGTCCACGGATCCAGAGTCTTGAGGCCCTGCAAAAATCAGTCTTGAATACTGCCAAGTCCAAGTGGGTCAATTGTTATGCTCTAGGATGGGATACAAGGATGGTGACGAGGATGTGCTGAAGCCAGTCTAGGATTGGAAACTCTACTCTCAGGACAGTACCTCAGCATGTCTGAAGCAAAGACTGGAACTATATCTTCTTTCATTTTGCTCAAGAAACCAGCTTGCCAACTTCATCCAGGGCTAGATGTGGAAATGGTTTCATGCAACTTCCTTAATCACAAAGTGTTTCACATAGTGCAATCCACAGAGATTCTCAATATGAATCCAAACTGAAAGGATAAATAAATAAAACAAAAAAGAGGTAACATAAGGATATTAGTCATGACTACTCCAAACACTTCTTACCTTACCCAGGGTAGATGAGAACCAATCAACAAAGCAAATCTAGTTTATGTGCTGACAAAAATGTTTACAGCCACCGGTCGGAAGAAGACAGTGAAATGCAATTGCCACTGTGCAGTAATCCTCGACAGTTCTAAGACTTCATTTTTGATGTGACTATATTATGATGAAGTTTAATATACTGCTGAGATGATTGTAACCCTTATATTTGGTTTTACTTGGTCTTTATTTGTCCATTTGTTCTTGTCAATTCATCCCTCTGGAATTGATCATTCATTATTCTCAATCATTTATCCTTATTTCAAAACAGCCTTGCCCCTCCATAACCACACTCTTTTTATTTCTCTCTCCTAAATTGTCTAAGAAGACCATTTCTGTTGGATTCTAAATAAGGAAGGATTATATTTTCTTCAAAGCCACAAGGGAGGGAAACCAATCATTTGGTTTTAAAATGCAAAGGCAACCTACAACCAAAACTTTGATTTCAAGAATTAGAATGATTATTTTTTATTATTTATTTATACCTCCTTTTTTATTTTTACAAATGCCTCAAAGCAGTGAACCTATCCAACACGTTTTTCTCCTCCTATTTACTCCACAACAACCCTGCGAGGTGAGTTGGGCTAAAAGAGAAAGTGCCTGGCTCAAGGTCTTCCAGCTGGTTTTCATGGCCTAGGCAGGACTTGAATTCACAGCCTCTTGCTTTCCATTCCAGTACCTTAACTACTAGACCAAACTGACTCTTCCAATAAATCCCAGATTTACAAGAAAATTACCTGGAAAAGGAGGCTAATGTTAGAATGCCCAGTAATAGCTCAACTGCATAGAAGAAAAGCAGGATGGCATTCAGAATGGCTTCCAAACGCAAGGCGTAGGTCTGCAGAAGTAGGTAATAGGCTGCCATCACTGCTGCTGGAAAGGTTAGTGCCAGGCTGACAGCAAGTGGCACTTTCCGCTGGCAAAGGTTACCTTTGGAGCCTGTGACATATGGGACACAGAACACATGGACCATTCAGCACAAGTCGGAAACAATCCAGTAAATTCTTTCAGATATTCATATGGGAGAATGAACTAGAGAAAGAATCCCTTCAATCCTTTAAGAGAAAGAATTGAGCTGCAGAACCAAAAGGCACTTCAATTCATGCTAGCTTGAATTTAAATCTCTCCTCACAATTTTCTCTGCCCCTGGTTTTATCTGAGTCAATGATGCCTCAGATATTGCAACCTATATTCATTTGAAAACAAACAGGACTCTCTTTCAGACTTTTTTCAACAAAGGAAAGTATGGGGAGGGGCACACAAGTTTTGAAGTGTAGCATGTATAGCACTGTGCTCTGCATATCCTACTCCTATTACACTTTCATGACATGAAAATGACCTATTGGAAACAACCTTTCCTAAAATGAAAATGGGTTCTGAACTTTACAGAGCCTCAGAATCTGATTTCATATGTCCACAGATCAAGAGGGGCAGTCTGACTGATCAAAGCTTACAGTTCCATCTCCATATATCAAATTGTACCATGGTTCCTAATTATTCTCAAATAATTGTAACCCAAACTACACAAAGAAGGAATGTACACTGCTATCCACAGTACACTACCACAGTTGAGTAGGAACATTGAGAAGGCGTGGCCACAATATACAGTAGGATAATTCTGCCAGCAACTATATATTTAGATCTGCCCAGGGTCACTTGTCAAAATCTCATAAATGTGTTGTTCTTAGGGAGTCAGGATTTATTTACTGACAATTTGGTGAACAACCTGAGGATGGGGAGAGGAAAGCATCTGCTAAGTTTAAATGCCATCAAAAAAGCTCATGTTTAACTGACAAATGCATGTGCTATTCCTTTAAGTATCATTGTGTATCCTTTAATGCTTACCAAAAAATATCCTTGTGACTTCAATTCCAAGATAGAGAAAAAGCATAACCAGGTCCAAAGCCAGATTAGCACTTGGATAAGGCAACAAGAGACCTATAAAAGTACACAAATGGCCACATGAATTGAAGGGAAAGCAAGATGCCCCCCCCCCTTTCCGCCATTTCTCAAAAAAGAACTGTTTAATGTTGATAAAGATCAAATGTAAAAAGAGACAGTGAATCTTTGGTAGAATCGGTCAATCTCATGCCAGATGGTCAATCAACATTCCCTCTGAGTAAGGCATGGGTTTGAACCAAGACAGTAGCAAGCCGCTTCTGAAAATCTTACCAAGAAAATTGTAAAGATTCATCTAGACAATCACTAGGAATTAACATTGACTTGAAGGCACACGTGCACCTTCTTTGCTGGAGATGGGAAAATTTCTGTATATGTAATGAAAGCTGTAGACCAAGACTGAAAAAAGGGCTGGAGTTCTATCTATTCAGCAACCTCAATAATTAAATTATTGAAATCTCCAGGATGAGGGAAGCCCAGGAATAATAGAAACTGGAGAATATCTGCTGAGGAACCTTAAAGTTGGTAAGACATTAACAAGGAATGTTGCATTAAGTTTAATCTTTTACTGTAATATGCTACCAGCTCTTTATTAAAAAGCTGGAAACATTACATTATCTTTCATATATATATATATATATATATATATATATATATATATATATATATATGTGTGTGTCTATCTATCTATCTATCTATCATCTACCTATCCATC